AAGAGAAATGTGACAGTGCCACATCGGGGGCCATTTGCCAAAGGCACGCCAGCAGATGAGCCCCATCTCTGCAGCAGAAGAGCGTCCACCTGGCCCGCGGAGCAGGGCTGGCCACCTGCTGCCCGCCGAGCCCTCGGGGCCCAAACACGGCGCACTGAGAAACAGGCCCTGCTCAACAGGCATCTGTCTCATCAACGCTTCCTCACAGAAGGAAGTTGTGTTACTCATCGGCATGCACGACACAGCACAGATAAATGGTTTGGAGCTGGGAAACTCGCTGCAAAGTGGCCCTGCTCTCCTGAGGCCATCCTCACCCTGTGGGGCGTCCGGCCATGGCTCTGGGGTCACCTCATTCTGGCGGCAGACGGTGATGCTTGCATCGCCTCACAGGCACTCGGGGGGGGGGCGGCTCTCTGAGCCCCATTGCTGCTCCCCCTCTCTGCCTCACCCACTTACCATTAGAGAGGGCCACCAGCCGCTTTTGGGGGCCACTTTCTGGGACCGATTGGTTTAAAAAAGTCAAAAAGCAAAGGTCAGAGGTGCCTGCCCTTAAAAAACTGCTGTCTTGTTTTTGGTGTGAGCAGAATGACTGGCTCTCCAAGGCTGTGGGCCTCTCTCTAACCTGCCAGGAACTGAGACTTACTTTTAAAAACAGAGAGTTGTTGCATAGGAATTTTAGGTTACTTTCTCAACACTGTTTTGTTGGTCAGCATGGTTACTTGGTTTTAAAACCATTCTGTGACAGCCATTTGGGTGCACAAACGGCATTTTATCCATCCTCATGGGCAAGGAACACTACCTGTGAAGGACAGCGCTTGACCTATTCGTGGGGCTCTGGTGAGAGTGCAGGAGACAGACGTCTGAATTGCTTCAGGGCATCTGCAGCACACTTTGGAACTAAATCATAAAGGGCACAGGCTTGGAGCTCTGTGGTTCCCCCCGGAGGCCTGGCCACACTCCAGCCCAGTTACACCAGTCTCTGGGGGTGGGATGGAAGCATGGCACTTTTTAGATCTCACTGGGGGATTCCAATTAGCAGCCAAGTGCAGAAATGCTACCTTAAAGAAACAGAAGGAAGGTGTGTTGAGTGTTTATGGTCAATAGAATGAAATTTTAATTGTCCCTCACGGTGGTCTCACAGGCAGGGGAAGCTGTGAAAGTGGTAGAGGCCCAAAGGTCAGCCAGGACAACTCATGCCATGGTGTGAGGATGCCGTACAGCCGTCCTGGCCTGCGTCAGCCAGACTGCTGCAGCCCCTCGCTCACGGCCAAGGAGAGACACAGCCTGGAATGTTCCAAAAAGGCGAAGCCAGTCAGGAGCCTGGTTCCCACGTTACTGACAGAGTCCTTCAGGAGAATGAGTGGCAGTCCTAAACCTTGCCTTCTCTCACGCACAGCCCCGAAATGTGTATCGTCTGCTCTTAAGACTAACCAAATGCATCTCTGATGCACTGCTTTCACATGTTGATTGATGTATCCCCTGGAGTAAAAAGGTCTATAAACTGTTCTTAGACAAAAAGCCGGCAGAACAGTCGAATCAGACTCTTTCTCTACCTAATTGTCTGGCCATGGTTCTCAGTAAGACTGAATAAACTCTATCTTTCTTAATAGCCCTGCTGATTTCAGTGGACATCCCAGTGCTTCTTTTACACTCTTATCAAGGTAGCCTGATTACGGCCAGCTCCCTTCCAGGTTCACCTACAGAGAAGGAGACGTGGCCCGTATTCTTAGCTTCAGCTCTGCTGGGCCTCTGGGAGTGGGAGAGGAATGGAGTGTGAGGTCGGAACCTCCTTCGCCAACACACTTAGTAAAAAGATGTTTCCTGGAATTCATGCAGAAGGTGGTTGCATCTGCTGAAAAGAGGGGCCTCTGTCCCATTTTTTGTGCAGAAAGACTTTACGGAGCCTGATGGCACCTGCATATTCCAAGGTTCAGGTCATACACCAAGTGGGGTCCCTTTGGTTGCTGGGCTTTCACTGGATCACAATATCCTCACAACAAAATGCAAATAGACTTCCAAGACTTTCCTGAAGGTTTCGGAGAGAGAGAGAAGACTACAGCCCAAAACACCCAGCAAACCTTACTCAACGGATTCAAACTTTGCCCAACCGGCACTTCTATTTTCCTTCCAAGTGCAGATCTCCCCTCTCCACGAACCTCTGTCCAGGGCAACAGTGCTGCCCTTCTGCCCTGAGCCCCACTCTGCAAAACAATCCCCTGATACAAGCTTCAAATACTAGATGCTGTTTCTCAAGTATGGCCTTGCCGGGGAAGAGGGTAGTCCCAGGTCATCCACCACTGTGTTTATCAGGAGCACAGAAATACTGGAAGAGCATGTGTTCCTGGGATCAGTCCAACTTCAGACATTCTGCGCTCCTGATGTCTGACCTCAGAACTCCAGAAGCCCACACTTTCCAGGCTGCTCACCTGGCACCTGGTCATCTACTACCTTGCCTCATCCTGCAAAATGCTTCCCCAAATGGGTCAGAAACACTTTGAGGATATCACCAGTCCCCCCGTTCACTCTCCTTGGGGCCTTCCTCATTTGTAATTCAGTAAACACATTTGTCGATATACCCACATAACATTGCAAACAGCATTGAAGGAAACTAGACACACGAAAGGCACACAGTACATACAATGCAGCCGGAAGCTGGGAAGACGAGTCCGTTGCCCAGATGCAGCCTCTCCCATACTGAGGCTGAGTCTGAGCCGGGGTAGCTAGGCACTGGCTTCCCCTTGCGGGGACACTCGGAGACCTATTGCCCAGCCGTTCCTGACCAGTGTGCAATATGGAGAGTAGATGATGCTGATGGCAGGAACAGGCTGGCACCAGGGGGCACTTACGACGTGCTGGGCATGCTCTGCATGCTCTGTGTGCTGGGGGTCCCCCACTCGGTCCCCTCCATGGCCCCCCTCCACATGTGTCTCACACGCCTAGCGACACACCGTGAGTCAGCGATGAGGACTGCACGCCCGGATCTCCCAGCCCCACACGTTCACCTGCGCTCTCTGGGGTGAAAAGCAAACCACTCCCCATGAGTTTCCAGGCTCGTTGGAGAAAAGAAACTGCTGAAGGCGGAGCCTTAGGAAGCTGGGCAGTCTGGCTGCCAGGGCTGTGTGAGGGGTGGGTTGCAGAAACATTGTGAGCAGACTGACAGGAACCTTGCTCAGGTATGGAGAGCCGCATCCACAGAGACTCAGAAATTACAGGGCTGGTGTCGACAAGGGCAGGCGTGGGAAATAACATGGGGCCATAACATTCAGAAGACCAAAAATAAAACCGAGGGAAACTTCTCCCAAGACATAAATCTGCCCTAGACAAGCAAGGCGGAGGAAAAGAAAGGGCACATCCATTTTCAAGCCTGCACAGGTGCCTCTGACTCAAAGTCAATAATTGTTCAAGGACAGGGCAATGATGAATGCTGGGGAGACGACTTGTGTGTCCGGATAAGATGGGTGGTGCTGGGCACAACAGGGATGAGCCAGAGTCACACAGGGATGAGCCAGGCCCCTTCTCCCCTGGGGCACGTTGACTGGCGCTCACACCCTGCTCTCCAGCCTCACTCACAGTGCGCCTGCGGGCCAGGGGAGTGGAGCTGAGCTCGGATGTGAAGGCTGAAGCAGACGTGATTCAGCCTCTGTGTCCTGGTCCCAGAAGGGACCAGATGTAGTTCGAAGGGGATGCTCTGCCTGCCCTTTGCCATCTGACATTGTCATTAGAAAACCGCAGTGATAGAGTCACTAAAAACGCTCTCCATGTACCAGAGGCTGAAGTGTGTACCTGTCCGTGTGTCCTCAGCCGGGCGGGGCTGAATGGCCCATACTGGGCATGGCCTTGGACTGCACGCTGGAACCAGCAGGAAGCCGGGTCTTTGCACCTCGGCCTCCGAGGTCTGGGTCTGCTGTGACTAATGTACCCAAAGCCACACAGAGCAGAGGATACGTGAGGAGCCAAGAACAGCTCCCCTGAAGTGTCTCAAAAACACTGGAGGGGGAGCCCATTTGTGCTTCTCAACAAGGCTGCCCCAGATCCCTCATGCAGCACACTGACTGACGTGGGTGCTACCAGCACGCCCTGGCGCCGTCCTCCGCTCCTCCCCAGACTGAGAAATGTAGCCTGTAAAATACTCATTGTTCTGCCCCTCCTGTTTAACTTTCTCTGGCCTGCAACTGTCTGCCCTTTCCCACGTCCTCCAAGCCAGGAGCCCCAGCTAGTCCAGCTCCTGACCTCTCCTATTTTACTGACAGCAGTAGTTAAGGCCCAGAAGCCAAGGCTCTAACAGGCTTTCTTTCCACTGGTGCGGAGAGAGGGTCAGAACTATGAAATGTAGTTCAATGACCTAGGAAGTTTCTTTCCAAAACAGATTTCCAGATCTCCACCCCCTTTCGTATGTTGTGAGTAGGAAGTACTCCTTTCAGGCCTGGTCCAGTCCTTAGGGTAACTCGGCCTTCAAACAAAGCTCATTCTGTCTGCTGCACACTAGCTCAGTAATTCCCCAGCTCCAGGGGCTGGCCACTCTCCTGCGGAGATCTTATTTAAAAGCACAGATTCTTGGGCCGCCCTCTAGACCTGCTTAGTCAGAAAGTGGGGGCCAGACTTGAAAAATCCACTCTCAAAAAGCTCACTGGGAAATTCTGATAATGTCTATTTCGAGAACCTATTCTGACCTAATTACTAAAGATCTGAATTGGCTTCATTTGCAGGTAATCCTTGTGTCCATAAAATAGATTCCTAAGAAACTATGTAGCTGACCTCTGGGGTATGAGCTGTAGACAGAGCCATGGAAAATGTGGGGGTCCAGGGAGTACCAGCATCAGTAGGATTGGGGCCTACCTATTTCACAAAATCTGCTCGTATCTCTATGGCTCCTTGTAAAATGCGTCTGGAAATCCAACGGATTAGCAGTAGGTAAACTCACATTTTGTTCGTCACCATGAAACAAAAAAAATGCTATTGCTTGTAACAAGATGTCTGTTTTTATGTTCTGCCATTTCCAGGCATCCATGGAACTCAGACAAATCCCAAGGCATAAGGAAATGGGCCTCATGTTCCAGGACTCTGTGGCACTGGAAATGAAGCTAAGCAGACTTTATTACATCCCCCAATACTGCAACCTTTTGCAAAGTATTTTATCACCCTCGCGGAAGCCAGCGGAGTTATGTTTCAATCACGATGACTGACAGGCTAACTTTAAAACAACGGCATCAACAGCCCTCCCACACTTCCTTGGCTAGGTACTTACAATAGAACCTTTTTCTAAACTGTCTCTTGGCCCAAATGGAAATAAAATGATAGTTAAAGTATTTATCTTGTGTGTTGGCTAACTTAAAAATTGGTATTTGGGGGCTTCTGAAAGGCACAGCTGACAAAGTCAATCTCAGAACCACCAGGCATCCTGTAAACCAAAGGTTTGCTAAGGCTGTGACATGATTTAGAGAGTTCCCATGTTGGTAGGTAAAATAACGGAACATGAAATGCACAACCTGTCCTTGGTTATCTTCTCCTACCTCTGGGTGCTGACAGGCAGAGCTCAAAGAACTCAGGATGGCAAAATGAGCTCCAGGAAACCAAAACACATGCAATGTGGCGCTCAGACCCCTTGGACAAAGCTTTGTCAGGGGTAGGAATGTCAAGAAGGGGGACGGAGAACCTCCATCTTGCTTTAGGATGCACGCTCCTTGCCCGTAATAGTCAGTTTTTTTAAGGAAGAACAGAAGCAGGCTCTTTCTTTCCTCTGCTATATTACAAAAGGGGGGATTAGAGTTTATAAAGAAAAGTAAAACCCATCAATAGCACTGCTACAAAGAACCCAAAGCAGGATTTTTCTTTTGCACAAAAAGCCTCCTGGGGCATCTTTTTTGGCTTACGGGCAACTTCCTGATGCAACACGGTCACCCGGTGAGCTTGCCCCTGCGATGCTGTAACAAATTACTAGGAAATGCATGGCTTAGAACAGCAAAAATGTCTCTGGAGTTCTGGAGGCCAGAAGGTCCAGGCCCAGCAAGGCCCCCTCTGGCGGCTCCAGGGGGATCTCCCCGGCCCTAGAGGCCGCCGGCGATGCTTGGAGCGCCATCCGTCCAACCTCTGTTCATCTTCACATTCCCCCTCCTTCCAGGCTCTCACAGGACACTTGGCATTGGATTCAGGGCCCACTCAGATAACAGAGAATGATGTCCTCAAGATCTTAATATCCTTAATTTAATTGGGTCTGCAAAGGTCCTTTTTCAAAATAAGATAACATTTAAGGGTTCCAGGGATTTGACGTGGACATATCTTTGCAGGGCCACCATTCAACCCACTACTTAGAACATTTGGCCTTTGACCCTTTCTGATCCAGTGTAAGCTGATAGGCTGCATATGATTGAACTGCATTTTGTTTCAAATCATATGTCTTTGCTGAAGGCCTGTTCTTGACAGTGATGGGCGATGCCTCCAGAGACTGGGAAGCGCTCTGGTTCCCAGGCCTCGTCCGGGATGCTTGTTTCTCACCTGAGTCAACAGCACTGTTTGCTGTGTGCTTTGTTCAGAGGGTGAAATGCCCGGGAGAGGAGATGGCGAGGACTGGTTATTTCCCCCAGCCCAAGTGTTGCTGGTTTGTAAGTCAGAGAAGAGCCCTACACATACCAATTTTTCTTACCCCCAGTAAGTCCAGCGCTGATTCCATCTCAGGTTTAATAGCACACAACACCAAAGACCTAGGCCCTGCCTTTGGGGCTAAGGCCACATTTCACTCGTTGACCTTCAGTCAAAGCGGTGAGAAACCACTGCTGGAACAGTTCGGCTGGGCCATGGTGTGAACCGAGCTGGAGCTGTGTTTCCCTTCTGCCTGTGAAATGACAGCCACACTGGAGCCACATCTCTGCCTGTCTCCCCATGGAGGCCTCCGTCCAGTGCCCTCCTGTAACTCGGCCAGGGTGTGCAGGCTGTGCAGGACCCAGGTGCAGAAGGCCAGCCCGAGGCTCTACTTCCATACCAGCCCCGAGAGCCCAGCCTTTGCTGGAAGGCATGATAACCCAACAAGGACTGTTTGCAGTGCCTTTTGAAAGGAACTAACAAAGCCTACCGATACCCAAATGGGAAAAACCAACTATGACTCCATTTGCTGAAGTGGGGCTGGTTTGCACTGAGAAAATTCAAAAAACAATGGAGAGTAATGCCTAAATCAGAGCAATGTCCCCACAATAGCTTTCTTTTCCTTTCTCTCTGATTTCTTCCTGGGCACAAATACCCACTAGGCTGTTTCAGTTCTGCTCAAGAGTGAACAGTTGCTGATTTCACAGAAAAAGATGCATAGCTGTAGGTGTGTGTGGTGGGGTCCACTCCACTGTGGTGCCTGTCGGACCAAACAGCACAGCAATCCTCTCTGCGACAACAGAGAATGACAACATTCCAAAGAAATATGTTTACCTCTGTGAACTCACTTTTTCAAACTCTAGGCCCATTCCTTATCTTTATTGTTCCATCTGCAATCAAAATGCAAATGGCACAAGGGAATGATGTTCTATTTTTGGCAAAGAGCTCAAAAGGACCTTTCCATGACTGTGTTCGGCACAGCTGATGCAGAGTTATGGAATAATACTTCTCCAATCAGTTCTTCCCCAGGGTGAGACGGAGCTCTGGTCTCATGGCACAGACGCCTCTCCCGTCCATGCTTCTCTGTATCCGAGCTTGAAACGAAGGTCTGGGCATCTACGTGCTTCTACCAGCGCTCTGTGCCCAACAGGCTGATGAAAGAAGGGAATGAACTTTTGCTTGTATGGCTATTGTAGATGCATTTGTAAATGTTATTTCATTTAATCCACCCAAGATCCCTATACAATATATATGGAAATTTAGACTCAAAAAGGTTAGGCAGCTTGCTCAAGGTCACAGGGTTCGTAATACTTTGTGATTAGGGATCAACTCAGGTCTTATTCCCAAAGCCTAGGAATGCTCTTTGGAGAAGAATCGGTAACCAAGGACTGTCAGCAAATTTAGTCAATACCCTTGGCCCCTCCTCTCCTCCACTGTCAGCTGAGTTGGCAGGTTGGTCTTTTGTACTGATATTCAAAGGTAAAGGAGAAGGAATAGCTAGGGGAAGGCAGGGACTATCTAAACACTCTCCAGGCAAGAGCATCCCTCCAGTCATGTAAGCAAAAGCAGCTAATGGCATCTCTGTAACTTGCCGACAGAGGGGAAAGGTGTTACTAAGAACACTTACTATGACTGTGTGGCAAATGTGTCAACAGAAAGGTCAACGAGTAGCTGTCCTAGACATGAAACAAGGTAAGGTAATGAGCATGTAATTAAGGATTGAAAATGTGTCAATACCCCTGGAACCACCCCCCCACCCCCAGCCCTCGAGCATGGCCCCGCACTTGCAGTTCATTTCAGTTCTGAGAACATCTTGGCCGCCCACTATGCGCGGAACTCCAAGGCTGTGGGCTTGGCAGCCCTGGGGAGGTGGCCCCTGAGGAAGAGCTGGAAAGTAGGGGAACTGCGTGTCGCGGAAGGAAAAGGAACTGGACATGCAGAGCTAGTTTGGGCAAGAATATAGGCCCAGTTCTAGGCTTCTAGACGATTTTTTTCTGAACCCTTTTGTCCTTCCCCTCCTGTCCCTCTTCATCATCATGATAGATATACTTACAGAATATCTCTGTGCCTAGCACGATGCTAGGCATTTTCAAAGCTTTGTTTCCCACAAGCCTCACAAAAACCAACCAGTCTTCCTTCTTTCCTTCTTCCCTTCCCTTTTCTTTTATTTAATAAATATTCAACATCTATTGTGGCCAGATATTATTATGTACCAGGCGCTGGGGCTACAGGGCTGAACAGAAACACCCAGAAGCAATGACTGCCCTCCTTCTGTAACTGGGGAACCTGAAGCTTAGAATTTGTGACTTGCTTAAGGACACACATAATAACAACACTTGTCTTTGTACTAAAAGCCTGGGACTCGTTCCCCTGAGCCGGGCTGTTTCTCCAAAGGCAGGATGCAGGTGGAACCCCTCTGACTAACTCCTGGTCTTCCCTACAGGCCAGGCCCCATAAACATACCTGCTATGTCCAAATCAAAACTAGCTGGTGAAACTCCATGCAGGCCAGGAAGGTGCAATCTCTGTCAGGTCAATGAGCAGTTACTGAGTGCCTTTGGTGTGTCCACCCTGGGGGAGGCCCCCTGAGCATGCTTCCCTGCGCTCTACTTCACCCCAAAATGCACCCCAGTCCTCCCCCATGTTGACAGTATAGCAGCGGTTTGGACACTTCCTGAGCCTTCTGTCTAGCCAGCCTGGCCTGGGGCAAACATCTCCCTATCCCACACCATTCCTTAGGAGGGGTCTGGAATAACACTCCCAGATTCCAAGTGAGCCCCTTGCTATGGCCCAGGGTCACACTTTAGTGAACAGACTTCCCGCACAGGTCGCTCAGGTCTTACCCCCCTTTCTGTTTGCTTTCCTGCCCCTCCTCTCTTTTTCTCTCTGCCGGAAAGCAAGCCCCCTGAAACAAGCCCATAACCTGGAGAGACAGTCCAAATCAGCAGTTCCCATCACTGTCACTGCGAGGGCTTATTAAGACTGAGTGCAAGGACCTACCTCTCAGGTTTCCGACTCAGGGATGGGGCCTGACACGTCCCCCCAGGGGTGCTGGGACTGGCCAGTCAGGGCCCTTACTTTGAACACCACTAGCCTAAAGGAATGATGTCTTCCCCACCCCCACCCCCCCATGAGTAAACAGTTTGTTCTCGGTGTGGACTCCAGCTGGTGTTTCCCTGCATTTAACATATCTTAGTCCGGAGGTAATGAGCTGCAAGTTAAATCTGATCAGGCCACTCAGGCATCTCCGGTAGGTTTCTAGAGTTATTTAATACTGCAGAAGACTTCTCATCTGGGCTAATTAAGTGACTAGTTTAGATCGATAGTAGTTGAACAGGGAGAAAGTGGGGCAGCTACAGCTCACTACCAACTGAATAAGATGGTGCTAACTCCAGCCCAGGGAAGCCACGAGGGTTTGAAATTGGACTTAGTTACTGAGGCCTTTTTATCACTCATAGGCAAAGGAGCTCACCCATGTTACAGGTGGAATATGGTCATTCAAAGGGGTACTTCCAAAGGGGTGACTTTGTTTGGCTTCATTGGTCAAAGAACTCCCTCACAAGGCAAAGATGCCATTTGGAATGACTGGCATTTGCATCTGCCTCCCACACCTGTGCAGTCTGTGGGTGGGCACTGCACTCAGAACCCCACTGGGGCCGCGTGCCATTTACAGGGAAGGCACAAAGCCATATACCGATAGCTTTGGAAGTTTGTGTCCCGGGTAGTGGTGGTG